TATTTTTATTTAATTTTTTATACGCTATTTAAATGTAATATTCACATCAAAATTATTTTAGTTTTGGCTTTTCATTTACTTATTTTTTGTTGGGCAGCCAAACACGAAAGATTCTCGATATAATAAAAACCTAGATATTATTTCCAACTATTCTAAGCATAAATACTTTAAACTAATTAAGTTTGGTTAAATAATTACTTTTCGATAGCAAAAACTTTGTGCAATGGTCTTAAGAGATTTTCTTCATTTTTTCAAGAAAAAAGTTGGACTTTTTATTTATTTTTTTTTTTTTTCAACTTTCCGCTTGTTTATTTACATTTGAAGCTAGCAGTGAGTCGCTGGCGACGCTCAGCTAATTGATATTGAATTTGCCGTAATGCAGAACGAATAATATCTAGAGCATAGGAAAAAGGGCGAAAAAACGTGAAGGTAATTGACAATCAATTTGCATATTGACTAATTAAAATGCGAGTGGGCGAGCGTCTGGTCTGAGGCCATCAATAAGCGTTAAGGAATGTGCAACAGAGAGTTTGGAGCAGCTGCAAACATGGACTGTTCGCTCGAGGCTTCGGCTTGGCTCAACTCTTTTGGGGGGCGTTGGCTCTGCTTTGCCGTAAATGAATATTGATTAGAGTGAATTTGTACGGCGGGGCGACTGCTAAGAAAATATTGCCATATTTATCACAATATCTGTGTGAATATTTTCGAAACAATTCAGTTGAGTTGCGTATGTGTGTGTGTGTGTGTGTGGGAGAGAGAAAGACTTAAATCAAGTTTGGTTTTTAAAACTTTGCTACTCCCAGCGGTAAGTCAAAGAGACTACGACGATAAGTTTCATTCTCTCTGTCTTTATCTATCGCTCTCTCTCTCTCTCTCTTACCCAATTCGCTTGCATCTCTGTCTGGAGGTATGCCAAAAATAAAAGTTTTGCTTAACTTAATGCATTGATCTATCTACCCACTGTCAATATTTTGGCTGACAACTTGCCGACTTTGAGCCCGAAGCGCCAAACTTTCAAGTTAATCAGTTGCTCGAGTGTCACAGAAATTGTCGGAATTGCGACCCTTTCGCAAGTGCAATGAAAATTGTTTGCTCAACAATTCGAAACTGATTCAGCTGTTCGATATGAATCCGGCAAGCAATGTTGGCTTATGCAGTTAATATTGAATATAAATGTAGACGGCACTGGAGATATATATGTATTCAGTGGAGTTCTTTGACTTGCGTATTTCATAGATTACACAAAATTATGCAGTTAATGGATTAGTATACCCTGAACCCATTGAAAATGTGAAATCAGGGTATAATGGTTTTGTGAAAAAGTATGTAACGGGCAGAAGGAGGCGTGGCAGACCCCATAAATTATATATACTCTTGATCAGGACGTCTGTCCGCCTGGCCGTACGTATGAGTGCGTCGATCTCAGAAGTTATAAGAGCTAGAGAGATGAAATTTGGCATGCATACTCGTGAGTACCATACGCAGTACGAGTTTGCTTTATTTTTTTCGATAAATCGTCCGATAACTTTTTTATCGAGAATAATCGAAAAATTGATTTTGTTTTTTTAGCCTAATTTGAACATTTTTAGACNTTTTTATACCCTGAACCCATTGAAAATGGGAAATCAGGGTATAATGGTTTTGTTAAAAGTATGTAACAGGCAGAAGGAGGCGTGGCAGACCCCACAAAGTATATATATTCTTGATCAGGGCGACGAGCTGAGTCGATTTGGCCCTGTCCGTCTGTCTGTCCGTCCGTCCGTCCGTCCGTCCGTCCGTCCGTCCGTCCGTCCGTCCGTCCGTATGTATGAACGCGTCGATTTCAGAAGATATAAGAGCTAGAGACTTCAAATTTTTTTTAAAATGTCCGTAATTACAGCGCGCATATCAAGTTTATCATTAAAAATCGATAACTCATCCCGATCTTTTTTTATCGATAAAAAACCTTATCGAAAACCAGTTATAAAATTATATCTTCTACACCCTTATTGCTAGAGTCTCCAAATTTTTAATGTATGCTTATATGCAATTTATACAATTTCGGTTTTTGTTAAAATTTACCCCCCACCCTTAAATTCACCCCCTCACCCTCACTTTTGTAAAAAGCGTATTTCAAATACTAGAGACTTGGGCTTTGGAATATACACACATATTCACCATATGATTACGCTCTAAAAGTTTCATTAAGATCGTATGTCTACAAAAGAAATTATTTAACAAATAAATTCTCATAATATTGCCCACACTGCAGCGCAGCCCAAGCGCAGTCGCTGCTTACTGCGCAGTTAGCAGAGCGCAGGCTTATGCGTGCGTGTGGATGCATGTGTATGTATGTGTGCATAAAAGAAGTGCAGAATGATTAGAATATCAGCTTGGAGGGTTHAGGGTATMTYSTAGTCGAGCAGTCTCGACTGGAGCTTTCTTACTTGTTTAATTTACATATTTTGGATACGACGCATTTCAAGTACTAGAGACTTGTGCTTTGGAATGTACGCATACATTAACCATATGATCACGCCCTGAAAGTATCATAAGGATAGTCCATCTACAAAAGAAACTCTCAAAAATTAAATTCTCATAATATTTCCCACAGTCACTGCTAACTGCGCAGTCATTAAAGCACGTGATTGTACGTGTGTATGCGTGTGTGCTTAAAAGAAGTGCTGAATGAGTAAAATATCAGGGTTCAAGGTATCTCCTAGTCGAGCAGTCTCGACTGGAGCCTTGTTATTTGTTATTAATAATAAACAGGGTATTGGTAATATAATGATTGAATTCATGATAAAAAACTTTCAAGTAAGTGTGAGTACTTAAAAGACTTGTAATTAGCAGCATATATAATATATAAACATTGAGATAAAATCTCAAACTCTTCTTCTTGTATTCTACTACAAGGATGCCACATCCCTTCACAAGGCTCATTTATATGATTATAATACTCGTTTCACATTTGTTCAGATCTATAAATTATATTCAGAATTTTCAACACTTTAATAAATTCAAATATTAATTTAATTTACTCTACATTTATTTTCATTGAAATTATTTTAAACAAATTTCATGCAAAATATTTACTTTCTAAAAGCGAATATACGTAAAAAATATTGATTCAATTCAACTGTTCTGGCTGTTACGCATTGTTGATTGCAACATGTGGCACATGGTAAAAGACAACAACAAAAAATATACATAGAAGAAGAAAAGTATAAAAGAAAAACTGCAAAAGCGCTCAAAGATAATGCAAAAAATAAAACTTGTTTTTGATTGTTTGCTGCGACTGCCATATATATGTGTGTGTGTGTGTGTGTGGGTGTGTGTGTGCGAGAATATAAAATTGAATTTTTATTGGAACAAACATCAGAAAGGAAACGCATTGATAGCCAGACAGGTGGAAAAGTACAAAAATCGTGGGGGTCGCGTGGCGAGTGCCTGTGGCATGCCAATCGATCCAAAAATAACACAAATATTTTATTACTCAGTCACATCGCTGGGCTACATTGTAATTGCCTTTGTTGTTGCCGTTGTCGTTGTTGTTTGGGCATTCACGATATTTTGATTAATAATATTTGTAAAAGGTGGAACTGTATAGCGACCTTGACACACATCCAATTGTTGAAGCTCTAAATTAACCAAATATACATATGTTTTTTTCCCGTTTAAAGAACATTTTGTGCTGTTTACATATTTTATGAGCACACAAGCTTGAGTGCGTCACGAAATGTGTTTTATATAAATTTGGGTTTTATTTAAATTTGTACAAAAATAAATAAATATGTATATATTTAAAAAACATTTTCAAGTTAAAACACTTTCATTGCACTTTTGGTCTGATAAATGAGCTGGATACAAAAGTTTTCTTCATACATATTTTGAGAGTTTGTATGTTACTGTTATTCAGCTTAAGATATATTCACCTTATTGATTTTAAATTTTAATAATTAATATGTATTATGTATAATTAATATGTAATAATTAATATATGTATTTATAAAAGAATTTTCGGATACCACATAGCTTCAGAGACTAAAACCTTTTTGGGCAAGACATCTAATGAATTACATTTAATTAGCTAAAATTCACTAAACGTTTGTAATCAATTATTTTATTGGATTGAACGTTAAGTTTGAGATATTTTGTACAGCAGCTACAAAGATACAGATACAGTTATCGATACACAGATAAATATACACAGATGCAGCTGCACAGATAAATATACACAGATGCTGATATCTGTATCTGTATCTGACTTTCTATATATAAGTATCTGTCTATGGGTATCTGTATCCACTCGGTACTCACCTGTATATCTAGCTATAAGTATCTGAGTATCTGTGAGTACTTGTATCTGAGCAACTGTATCCGTGTACCCATATCTGAGTATTTCTATCTAAGTATCTGTATCTGATTATATGTATGTGATTATCTGTATCTAAGTATCTGTATATGAGTATCCGTATCTGAGTACCTATATAAGAGTATTTGCATCTGGTTATCTTTATCTGAGTGTTCTGTATCTGGCTATCCTCATCTAAGTATTTGTATCTAAGAGTCAGTGTCTGATTATCTGTACCTAAATCTGAGTATCTGCATCTGAATATCTGTATCTGAGTATCTATATATGAGTATGTTTATGTGGGTATTTGTATCTAAGTATCTGTATCTGGTTATCTGTATCTCAGTAGCTCTTCCTAATTATCTGTATCTGAGTATCTGTATCTGGGTATCTGTATCTGGGTATCTGTATCTTAGAGTTTCTATCTGAGTATCTGTATCTAAATCTAAGTATCTGTATCTATATATCTGTATCTGAGTATCTGTATCTGGGTATCTGTATCTAAGTATCTGTATCTGAGTATCTGTATCTAAGTATCTTTATCTGGTTATCTGTATCTGAGCACTTATATCTGAGTATCTGTATCCGAGTATCTTTATCTGAGTATCTGCATCTGTATTTGTAACCATTTTGTTGAACGGTTAACTCGTGAATAGCTAATCGACTTGTTCTGATCCATTTTCCAAAATTGTATTCAAATCCTTTTTCCACGTGTATTCAACATTATTCTTGCTCTTTGCAGATGTTAAAATCGACTTCAATGCATTGCCAACAAATGGCCGCAACAACAGCAACAACAACAATAACAATGATGACAACGAGGCAGGCAATGAGGATGATGGCGATGTCGCTGACGTGCCAGACGTGACGTCACTGTCAATGCAGCTGAAGAGCAAAGAGCGTCAAAGGGAACGGACACGGGCAGAGGCCCGGGCTGCACATGCAGCAGGTGCAGGTGCGGTTGCAGAGACAGCAACAGCAGCGACAGCGCCAGATGTGGAGCGCAAATATGGCCAAATATCGAATCATATATATCTGCTCTATATGCGCGCCTCCGGCCTGCCCATAATCATTGTCTTTTTTATCACCGCACTAATTTGGCAATGTTTGCGTGTCTACACGGACGTTTGGCTCCAGCATTGGAGCGACCATGTCGATGGTGGCAGGAGCGACAGTGACATGGATGCGGCCAGCCACGAAGTCACGTACTATTTTCGCATGTATGCAACAATTTCGTGTGTTTGCATTATAATGGCCATGATATCAACACCGGCCGGACAATGGGCCGGCTGCAAAGCCAGCCGTAATTTGCACGATAAACTGTTGCTAACGATTTTGCATAAAACTTTGCATTTTTTCCAAGTGACGCCGCTCGGACGCATTCTGAATCGTTTCAGCACCGATATGGCGATCATTGATAAGGTAAGATTTGTTATTTTTATCAGCTACCCTATGTGCAATAAACAACTGAGGTGGGTATGCTAATTATGTGAAGAGAGATTTAACAAGCGGTTGGGTGAACTATAAGACTATTCGAATGATTGGCTGAAGAAGATCTTTACATATAAACGATTTTATTTATCTAAATTGTATAACATGTATATAACATTTTTGTATTTATTTTATATTTTATATGAAATAACATAGAAATAACATATGTATTCATTTGGTTGTTACTTACTGAATCAGACAAGCGGTTGGGTGAACTATAAGCCTATTCGAATGATTGGCTGAACAGATTTTATATAACAGATTTATATAAATTGTATAACATTTTTGTACTTCTGATATATGCAGAAATAACATAGAAGCCACATGCATATGTATTATATAGACTTGAATGTTACTTACTGAATGAGACAAGAGGCTGAGGGACTATGAGGAATCTCTTTATATATAACAGATTTATGTAAATTGTATAACAATAATATAATTTTAATTTTTTTATTTATTTATTTTGTAATACTAAGCCAATATTTCTATTATATAGATTTGTATATTGCATACTGGATGTCTCATCCAGTTTGGGAAATCTAGAAACTTATTCGAATGATTTGCTTGAGGAGAGCTTTACATATAACATATTGCATATAACAGATGTACATATGAATTGTGTAACATTTATATAACAGTTTTTTTTTTTTTTTAATATTTGCTGAAATAACATAAAACCAACATATGTAGCATCTAGATTCGAATATTTCTTTAGTTTAATTTTACATCTTCAATAATTAAATTGGGAATATCTTAAATTATAAAATTCTACCATGCAGAGCCGGGTAATTCACGATTGGCATACTTACATGCTTACATTTATATTATATATAAGTATATATATCCATCAGTATATACATACAGATATCTGCATAATTTTCGGTTAGCTTTTTGTATTGTGCGGCATAAAATATGAGCATATTGCCTGTTGTTGTTGTTGTCGTCTCTGCTTTAGATTTGGAGCTGATAAGCACGCATTATGCATTGATGTTTTGCATATATACATCTGTGTGTGTGTGTGTGTGTGTGTGTAAGGGCGTGTGTGCTTATGCGTAATATATGAGTTTGTTGACGCCATTTTTCGGGTTGCTTTCATTATAGTTTTTCACGTTGTTTGTCAATTTTTCACATACAAATTTACTAAAAACTTGTACGATTACGTATCAGTGTGTGCTAGTGTGTGTGTGCATGCTTTTGGTTTGATTAAAATGACATTGATTGATCTTCAATGCAGTGGGTCAATTATACTTCTATACTTCGCTTCTTACTCATTCTCTAATTAGTTTCTGTTGAAGTTTGTTTTGCTTCAGCTGTCTTTAAGTAAAATTCCAAATTTACTTCGGTATTTACTTTTGTCGCCTTGCATTAAAAGCAATTGCAGTACATTTTAAAGTCTATTAAAATTGAAGTCGTCTAATTTGTATTGTTTTTCATTCGATACAAAACAGAGAGAGAGAGAGAGAGAGAGAGAGAGAGAGAGAGAGAGAGAGAGAGAGACGGATGAAGGCGGATGAAAGCTTAAGCATTTAATGGGCAAGAACACACTTTTGACTGTTGACAAATAAGTAGATGCATTGCTTACATTAGCTGTCAAGGAGTATCTTGAGATAGAACCATTTTTTGTATACCCTGAACAAAATGAAAATGGGTAATCTGAGTATAATTTTTTTTTTAATGTAACAAGCAGAAAGAGGCGTGGCAGTCGTTTAAACCCTGTCTGTCTGTCCGTATGTGTGAACGTGTCGATATTAGAATCTATGTATATGCTAGATACAAACTAAATGCTTTGCATTGCAGATCCCTCTTTAGCTCGCAGATCGGAGTTTGTCCCAAAAAATGCCTTGAAATAGAATTGAGTTAAGGTAAAAGTCGTTGCTTTGGTCTGTGGATATTTATTGTATACAAGTGTATACGATTGTGAAATAGATTTTATTTAAACCTTGTTCAGCATCAGGTTTTGTTTATGCAACATGTTTCTTGTTCCACAGTGTAATTATTGTTAATCCAATTTTGTATAGGTATTTCTTTTTCTTCTCGATCTTCAACCTTAGAAATAAGATAAATAAGATTAGTACATACATACATATATATTCATATATATGCTTACCTATATATTGAACTCCTCTGGTATAATGATTTTACCATCCACCATTTCACATTCATTCGTAAAGAAATCTATGATTTGCTGGGGGCACATCTGTTTGGCTATCTCGGCTGGGATGAATACGGGTGGCTCATCCTCCAATAGTACGAGATAATAATATTTGTTCAATATAAACTTAATGCCCACCACTTCCTTTATAGGTAGGTTTGGCGGTATTCCGTAAGGATTTTCATATTCAGGATGCACCATTTTGAGACAAATTAAATTTGAGTTCACCAATTCGTAGACCTTTTCCAATTGCCTTGACAGCTGCTATTGAAGTTTTTGTCGTGTCGTCCAGAGCGAGATCAACTCAGCTGTTGGAACAAAACTAGTTCCGGGCTACTTAGATGACTGAACTTTTGTTGTGTAGTGTTGGTTAGCTTTTGAATGTGCATGCGTGACACAATTTGCACGGTATCTTAAACGATGTTTGCTAAAAATGCGATATTTCATGTATAAATATATTAATAATATTTATT